CCCAAAACTAAGGATTTGATGGATTAGGTCTTTGTTTTCATTTTGGCGGGTGGTGCTGCATAATGCTGATTTTATGGCCTGAATGGTGCTTTCACCATGGAGTCAGTTGTGCTAAGGTCTGGGGTCTGTTACATTCGGAGTGTTGAGCCAGTTACGTTATCAGCAAACTGTTTGTGTACCCATCATGTCAAATATTTGTCGGTACTTACAGTTATACTATTTTGTTTCTTTGCTTTTGTTTTTGTTAGGATCTTGCTATGTAGCCCTGGCTGACCTGAAATTTGGTGTGTGGATGAGACTGACCTTAAATTAGCAGTTATCCTCTGCCTTTGCCTCCTGAGATCACAAGATTACAGGCAGGCACCACTATGCTTGGCTTATTTCTTTTTCATAATTAAAAAAAAAAATTTGCCGGGTGGTGGTGGCGCACGCCTTTAATCCCAGTACTCGGAAGGCAGAGGCAGGCGGATCTCTGTGAGTTCGAGGCCAGCCTGGGCTACCAAGTGAGTTCCAGGAAAGGCACAAAGCTACACAGAGAAACCCTGTCTCAAAAAACCAAAAGAAAAAAAAATTAAATTACTTTTGAAACAGGGCTTTGTGATGTAGCCCAGGCTGGCCTGCAACTGGCCTGGAAGTCTTGACTCTTCTGTCTCTACTTGTAAGTGCTGGGATTACAGGCACGCAACACCATACCCTGCACAATTATCTCTTTTGTTTTTATTCATGTTTAAAATGCTTCCTAGGTGACTTAATTTTTGTTCCTTTAACAGCAAAGGTGGGTAGGGTGTGGTACCAAGTTCTTCGAGCCGGGGAGGGGTAATTTCTTTGAAGAGGGAACTTAGAAAAAACATACTCACACTTTGTGACTACTTTGAAAATTGAGGATGTCACTCTTCCTCTCAACACCAGGACTTCTCTTTTCAGAGACATTTATTTCTAAATGTCTCATTCAGTTCCCCAAGCTTTGCCATTCTGGGAGAATGTGCAAGTGCTCCCAAATGATGGCAATTTGTCACCTTAGATGAAGCCTCAGATCAATTTCGAAGTCTCCTTGAACATAAATTATATCATCACTGTATAAGTCAGAGGAGAAAATTGCATCATTCTAGGAATTTGTTGGTGCCAGGTGTGGTGGCAATGCCTGTAATCCCATGCTGTGGAGTAGAGGCAAGAGGATCTTGGAAAAAAAGCAAAACAAGAAAAATGGGGGCTGAGGCAGGAGGATTGTTGTGAGTTCAACATCAGTCTGGGCTATGTAGTAAAGTTCCAGACTAGTCTGGGCTACAATGTGAGATCCTGTCTCAAAAGCCAAAACAAGGTGGCTGGGCAGCGGTGGTGGATCTTCGTGAGTTCAAGGCCAGCCTGGTCTACAGAGCCAGTTCCGGGGACAGGCACTAAACAACACAGAGAAACCTTGTCTCGGGGGTGGGTGATCAAAACAAGGAGCTGTGGAGATGACTCAGCAGTTAAGAGCACTTGCTGCTCTTGTGGAGGACCCTGGTTCCGTGCCCAGCACCCACACGGTGGTCCACAACCATCCATAGCTCTAATGCCAGGTAACCTGACACCCACTTCTGACTTCTGAGGGCTCCAGCCTGAATGTGGTGCACATCAGCTCACACATACATAAACTCTCTCTCTGTCTGTCTGTCTCACAAGTTAATAAATAAAATCTTAAAAACAAAAACAAAACAAAACTTCCAAGGGGCTGGGGATATATAGCTCAGTGGTAGAGTGTCTGTCTGGCGTGTGGAAATACTCGGGACTTCATTTCCAGTATCACAAGGAGGAAAGGAAGGAAGGAAGGGAGGGAGGGAGGGAGGGAGGGAGGGAGGGAAGGAAGGAGGGAAGGAGGGAGGGAGGGAGGGAGAGGGAGGGAGGGAGGGAGGAGGAGTTTGAAGGAAGGAGGAAGATTCTTGAAGGTAGGTAAGACTCAATTTCTCTCTCTGTAAAATGGGGAGAAGAGCAATCAGATGAGACAGTCTTTTAAAAATCCTGCATTTGAGCCTGTGAAAACCTGGTGGGATTTTCTTGTCAAATTTCCTTGTCTTGGGAAAAGCCAAGACTGAGGAGAACTGAGAGAAGAAACACAGAATTTCTTGTGGATGGAGGCAGCAGACCGTGGAAGTAAGACAGGACAGTGTGTGCCTTCATCTTCTTAGGTTTAACTCCTAGCTCAGCTGCTTCCTGAATGAAAAAAAGAAATAAAAAGGAGGTATGTGACTGCTTCTCGGTATGGTGGAGAAGAAAGTTTATTGTAGATAAATGGGAGAGCGTAGGTAGAGGCAGGGACATCTGGGACAGTCCAGAGTGGACATGAGTAGACTGAGCTGGGCTGTTGTACCCAGAGCCCCCCAAAGACCACCAAGAGACCAAATTCAATGCAAAAGCAAAGAGTCTTTGTATTGTTAGAGTTAACTCGGAATCCTCTGTCTGTCTGATGCAGCAGCAGAGCAGGAGAGACCCCCAAGTAGTAATGGGGCAGGGTTTTTAAAGTAAGGGGGGCTTGAGGTCTACAGACTACATAGGAACAGGCTCAGGATTGGTTTATGTGAGTGGCAATCATGTAACTTTTAATTGACTAGGGTTAGTTGGGGGTTACAATTATTCATTTTTTTGGATATTTTGGATATCCATTACAGGCTTTGTCCTTGAGCTGCCATGGAGGCTGGCTGGCCTAGCACGGACTGACTGTGGGGGCTGACTCAGTGGCCCAGGCTGTCACACTGACCCATGCACATAACTCTAAGTTGGTGAGGGGTCCTAGACAGTAAACAATTGGCAGAATCTTGAGTGGTCAGGTTACGTGCAGAAAGGGAGCTACTGCAAGGACTATGTCTTTTGTTCATGGCCCTTCCAGAGACTGCTTGCTCAAGTCTCAGGAAACTGAAATTGGGGTCTGATCTCTGAGAGAAGACTGAGCAGCCTGTTATGGTGTCTGTCTGGTCCTTTCAGGGCCGTGTGGGAAGAGGGGGGGGGAAAAGGAGAGGGGAGCGAGGAGGACCAGGTGCAGCCGAAATGGCTGGATTATAAGAGAAGAGCCTCTAGGGGAAGGGTAGCCCAGCTCCTGGGCTGGAGGGTTCAGGATAGGGGGTGGGGTATGCTGGGAGATCCTAGAGGCCGGTCTGATTTGATATGTTAAATAGGCACCTCAGCCATTTGTCCAGGGTTTGAGACTTAACACTTCCTTGGTGGAAATGTGAGCAAGAGGGCACTTGACCTCTCAGCCTCTGTGTCCCATCTGCAGTGGGGTTAACGTGCCATTTCTGTCACCTCGCATGCTCTTCTGAGGACAGAGTCATAGTGCATGAGCATCTACCACAGTGTTTGCATGGAAAGGTGCTCCGGAATGCCTGCTGGCATTTAATGATGGGCCTGGCCTTCTTCTCAGTATTTCTTCGAAACTTCTGAGTCCTCTGATTGTTAACAACCCAAGGTACAGACATACAAACTGGACCTATAAAGAGAGTTAAGTTGTCTGCCCCAGATTACCTGGCCGGTAAGTGGAAAAGCCTGGACTCTCTCATGACAGCTCCAGATCAGAGGTTGTGGGCAGCTGAGAGAGCATTCAGCGGGCCATCAACCCCAGGAGGGATGGATGGGAAGGATGGGGTAGGGGACCGAGGAGAAAAGCATGACCGTCAGTGGGTGGGCTTTGGTGCGTGATTCTCAGTGAACCGCTTGTTTCTCTGTGGGATTTAGTGGATTAGTGGATGACCAGGAATTCAAGAGAAGGAAAGTAAGTTAGAACAGAACAGGAGTCAGAGGTCACTGTCCTCCACCCCAGCCTGTCCTTAGATGTTGGGAGGGACCCTCTAGGACACGGAGTTCAAGCCAACTTTAACTTCCCAAGAATTACTGACTCTTTTCTTTCTTTTGGTTGACTCTTTTTTTTTTTTTTTTCCAAAACAGGGTTTCTCTGTGTAGCCCTGGCTGGCTGCCTCTGCCTCCTGAGTGCTGGGATTAAAGGTGTCCACCACCTTCGCCTGCCATTGATTGACTCTTTAAAACACACAATGTCTCATGCAGTCCAGGCTATTATTATTATTATTGTTATTATTATTTTGGTTTTTTGAGACAGAGTTTCTCTGTGTAGTTTTGGTACCTGTCCTGGATCTCACTCTGTAGACCAGGCTGGCTTCGAACTCACAGAAATCCACCTGCCTCTGCCTCACGAGTTCTGGGATTAAAGGTATGCGCCACCACTGCCCAGCTCTAAACCAGTCTTAATTTACTATAAAATCAAGGGTGATCTTGAACTCCTGATCTTCCCGCCTCTGCCTCCTGAGGTCCAGGATGATAAGCATGTGCCACCTCTAGCCCATGGATCTTATTTTGTTTCCTCGAGGTCAAATCATGCTATGTAGCCCAGGCTAGTCTTGAACTTGCAGTCTTCCTGCCTGAGACTCCCAAGTGCTGTATTAGATGAATGTGCTATTATGTCTGGTTTATACCATTTTACTTTTTTTTAATTTATTTTATTTTATTTTACAATACAATTCAGTTCTATATATCAGCCATGATTCCTTTGTTCTCCCCCCTCCCGCCCCATTTTACTTTTTTTAACTTTCTTTTTATTTATTCTTTTTCTTTTTCCTTTCTTTGTGTTTTTTTTTTGTTTGTTTGTTTTTTTTTTGTTTTTTTTTTGTTTTTTCGAGACAGGGTTTCCCTGTGTAGCTTTGTGCCTTTCCTGGAACTCACTTGGTAGCCCAGGCTGGCCTTGAACTCATGGAGATCCGCCTGGCTCTGCCTCCCGAGTGCTGGGATTAAAGGCATGTGCCACCACTGCCCGGCTTTCTTTTTATTTATCATTGTGTGTTTCACATCATGCATCCCCATCCTATTCATTTCCCCATCCCTTGGTATCCACCCTCTGTCCTTGCAATCTCCCCCACCCAAAATAAAATAAAATAAAATTTAAGAGAAAAAGAAAAAAGAAGGAAAAAATTAATCTCGTCATGGAAGCTGCAGTGTGACACAGTAAGTCACGCAGTAAACCCTTTTATCCATATATCTTTACTTGCAAGTGTTCATTGCAAAGAGTCTGTTCCAGGCCTCTGGTTTCTGCTCCACTGCCGATGCTGGGCCCTCACTGGAACTCCTCTTGGTTATCCTGCTGTTGCTCTGTGTCCTGGAAATCCTGCAGCTTTGGGTCTACAGGACCCGTCCCTTCACATGCTGTAGCAGATCACAGATGAGGCGGATGTTGGGTGGGCCAACACACAACCCTGGTTCTGGGTCTGTAGTCGCAGGGTTGGTCAGCCTGCCGGCTGTCCTCTGTCCTCACTACCAGGGTGAGCTCTCCTTCATTGCCCTGGCTAGTTCCCCCCTTGCAGAAATGAGCCAGGACCAGGGTCAGTTCTGCTGCTTTCATCCTCAGGGTCGGATCTCCCATACCTACACCTTCAGGCCAGCTCTACTGTGTAGCCCAGGCATGGCAAGGGACCACTCACCCGAGTGCTGCAGTTGATGAGGGCCAGGAACAGTTCTCCAGCTCTTATGACCTCAGGGCCAGCTCTCCTGCCTGCCTCAGGTGATGATGGGTGCAGGAGAAGGGGGGTCTCTCCCCACCCATGCTGCCACAGGACAGATGAGTAACGAGGACAGCTCTCTCATCCTCACAATTCCAGGGCTGGCTCCATCTGTCAATGGGGTTGGCCCTACTGTGCTGTCCATGTGAGCTGCAGGGCTCTCCCACCTGCCTCAGGCGATGATGGGAGTGGGGGAGGGGGTGATACCATGGTAATAGGAGTCATGAGCTGTGAATACAAAAAAGACTGAGGGAAAAGTGAGTCTGGAAGTTAACTGTGGGGAAGTGAGAGGAAGGACTAGTGGAAGATACGGTTTCTTTCCTAGGGTTGGTCAGAGCAGATTTATCTTGGCAGCAGCTCCGCATTTCCAGTGGTAAGTGTTTCCCGCATCTGTTTCACATGGGAAATCAGTGCCTTGGCTTTGGGTGGAATATGGGCAGGCAGAAATTCCCTCCTGCAACTCCCATTTCTCAGTCACCTCTGAATATGATCAGTGCTACATTTGTGTACTCTGATCTCATTCATTCACTACACTCCTTTGCCTCACCCTGGCCAGTCCAGCAAATGGAAAGAGATTACAGCTCTCCTCAGTTGTCTCTTCATAGTAACCTCTCTCCTTTCCACATCCAGACTCCCAGACTGGGTGTTCATTTCCCTTTGTCTCTTCTGCATACCAGGAGGGGTCACATTCACTTTGCAAACAATATGCACACGTTGGTATCTCCCTAGAGACAGAGGCTGGCAAAGGTCTCCTGTCCACATCCTGTCACGTGACTGTGATTATTACCTGAAGTTCTGGGTCACTCTTGGTCTTTGAGTCTGTCTTTCTGCTAGTCTGAATGAATTTAGCTCACAAACAAGCAATTGCTGACCAAGGCATACACTGACCTGAACTTGTACAGGATGTTCCTGCTGAAGTGGGCAGGAGAAAGAGGAACTGTGACTGATGGGTGACAGTCCGAGCAAAAGTCTTCCCCAAGTTCAAAGGCCCCGAATGGGGCAGAAAATAGCAGGATTAGGAGTCAGGGCTGGGGCTCCGCACAGCTGAAGTGTCATGGAAGAGAGGAGACTGAGCTAAGCGAGGTGATATTCCAGGCATGGCCCTTCTGCTTTTCTTTTTTGGTTGTTTTTTGTTTTGTTTGGACTCAGTAGTCTGTGGTGTATGGGTGGCTGAAAGGTACATTATCAGTTAGCATAGCCATCAATATTTACACTCCTCTGGAATTTGATTTTAAATGAATAACTTTTAGCATGGGTTACATTGGACAACCTGATTCTTTTTAAGTTTTTGTTTATTTGTTTTTAAAGTTTTTGTTTGTTTGTTTGTTTTTCAAGACAGGGTTTCATCTGTGTAGCCCTGGCTGTCCTGGAACTTACTGAGATCTGCCTGCCTCTGCCTCCTGAGTACTGGAATTAAAGGCGTGTGGCACCACCACCCTAATTCGAGAAATCCACAGTCTGCTTAAAGGGTAAAGGATTTTACCAGGAAGGAAGACTCACTACAGTACAGGAGATTTATTGTAGGATCCTGGAAGGCTGAGGTACAGCTCCACTCTGTGTTCTTCCTGAGTCCATCCCAGCATCTAAGCCCACGAAGGAGTAAAGAGAATGGCTGTGTGTATCTCAGGTCTAACGGGTAGCCCCAGGGCCATGCCTCAGGGGTGGGTACTTCAAGGTCATAGGTAGATAGGACAGTTACCTGCTACATCTCTAGAGGTGGTGCTTCAAGGTCATAGATAGAACAGATATCCACTACACTGCCCAGCTTAAATTTTAATTTTTAAATTGTGTGCATGTGCATGGGTATGTGCATGGGTGAATGCAAACGCCTTTCGAGTCCAGAAGAGGGCGCCAGATCCCCTGGAGTAGAGTTACAGGTAGTGATGAGCTACCTGGAGTGGATTCTGGGAACTAAACTGGGATCCTCCAGAGCAGTCTGTGCTTTTTACTCCAGCCCCTAGAAGTTTTAAATTTTTAAAATACTTTTCTTGAGACAAGGTTTCACGTGTCCAGGCTGGCTTCTAACTGCTATGTGAGCATTCCTGTTCTTCCTGCTTCTGCCCCCTGAGTGCTAGGATTCCAGACTTGTACCACAGTGTCCTGTGGATTTGACTCTTGGCATCACTTGCCAGTGATTCTCCCCGAAATGGTGCCAGTTAGCTCTGTTCCGTGAGTCATGTTAGCGTGGCTATCAGTACAGCAGCAGAGTCACGGGCAAAGGATGCTCTAGGACACTTCAAGATTTATGTCTTTACTCAGGAACAGCTGCAGGAGAAGGGCAGAAAAAAAGCTAAGGGGGAAAAAAGGAAGTTAAGACAACGACCAGAAGCCCAGCATTCTGGACATTCCTTTGATTGGCTCATCTCTGGCTTTATGAAAATTATTATTAATATTTTTCTTTATTCTTTGGAAACTTCATACATACATACAGTGTATCTTGATTATATCCACCCGAACCCCCCTTCCCAGTCTCCTCGATACAAGCACCTCTGTTCTTCTCCTCCTCCTTCTTCTCTTCCTTTTCTTCTTCTTCTTCTATAACCCATTTAGTCCAGTTAGTGCTGCCTACATGGAAATAGACAACCTACCAGTGGTCATACCCTTGAAGAAAAATGGCTTCCCCCTCCAAAGTCATCAGTTACCATCAAATAGCTCCTTAGCTAGGGGTGGGCCTCAAGAATGTTCCCCCATCCAAACAAACTGTATCCTATCTGTAGCCTCTGCTTCCTGGCTAAGGTTTGGATAGAGTTTGTTCTCCAAAGATTTATGTTCTGAAAGCTCAAAACCAACCTCAGGATGGTTGGTATTGAGTCTGTAGAACCCTGAAGGTACAGCCTCAGCCGTGGGTACTCCACGATCACAGATTAATTTTGGCTTGTGGGAGTAGGTTCATTCTCCTGGTGAATTGGTTAGTTCTCGAGAGACCTGGCTTTTATCAAATGAAGTCACCACTAGAGCATGGTCCCTTCTGCACACACAGTCACTTGTCCATGTAACAGATTTTCCTCCCCACTTCCCCCACCTTCTTACGATGTAGCTGGGAAGTGAGAGGTTTTAACAGCACAATGATTGAGCATCCCATCAGTAGAATCAAGAGCTAAACAAACCTCTCTGTAGAAAGTATCCAGACTTGGATTTTTATTTTTGGGACAGGGTCTCCCAGCGTGGACTGGCCTAGAACTCACTATGTACACCATGCTGGCCTTGAACTTGTGGCAATCCTCCTGCTTCTGCCTCATGAGGACTGGGTTTACAGACATATACTACCATGTCAGGCTCTCATCTCTGGTATTTTTATTCTTGCTGTGTTGGGAATTTAACGTCGGGCCTCACACAAGCTAGGTAAGTGTGTACCCCTAAGCTACATTCCTGGCTCTGGGTTTTAATAGCAACACAAGATGGACTGAAACGCCCTTCTCTTTCTGCTAGCCATCCCTGTACTATAAAGGAAGGCCTTGTACTATAAGGGAAGGCTTTGTCCTATAAGGGAAGGCCTTGTCCTATAAGGGAAGGCCTTGTCCTATAAGGGAAGGCCCTGTCCTGTAAGGGAAGGCCTTGTCCTATAAGGGAAGGCCCTGTCCTGTAAGGGAAGGCCTTGTCCTATAAGGGAAGACCTTGTACTATAAGGGAAGGCCTTGTCCTATAAGGGAAGGCCTTGTCCTATAAGGGAAGGCCCTGTCCTGTAAGGGAAGGCCTTGTCCTATAAGGGAAGGTTTACTGGTTCCTGCCAGTCTCTGCCTTTCCAGCCTAGAGTGGTTCCATGGAGCTCCTGAGCATCTGCTGGACTCTACTTCAAGGGATTTTCCCTCATTCATCTGTTTTCTTCACCCGAGTGAGGTAGGGTGGTAGCATGTTATCAGCATAGGGAGGAGCTTTGGGTTCCAAAGCTGATGCTCCTCCTCCTTGCGTGGCATGCCGGGTCACACTATGCCACCTTCCTGCGTCTGCTGTCCTCTTCTGTAAAAAGGACATAACAGTAGGTGATATTGTCTACCTCAGGGCTGTGAAGGCATTTGAGGCTGGGGGTGCTAGCTGCCACAGTGAGTAAGTTCTGCTCAACAAAGTGCTATTAGTGTACCCTGCCAACAAACACTGGCCTGGGCTGAGCATGTAGCTCAGTTGGTAGGATGCTTGTTTAGCATGCACAGAGCTGGGTCTGATCCCTACCACCACATTACCCGGGCTTGGTGGCACAAGCTGCCTGTAATGCCTGCACTTGGGAGGTAGAGGCAAGAGGATCAGGAGTTCAAGGTCGTCCTCAGCTACCTAGCAAGTTCAAGGCCAGCCTGGGCTACATGAGATACTGTGTCATGAGTGCATTATTCCAGAAACATGGACAAACACATCAGTGTCTTTCCACGGTGTTAGAATTTGTTAAATAACAAGTTCACAAAGTTCAGCACTTTCTTTTCTTACTTATTTTATTTTATTTATTTTGTTCGATGTATCTCTGTGTAGCCCTGGCTGTCCTGGAACTCGCTCTGTAGACCAGGCTGGCCTCAAACTCATGAGACTTGTCTGCCTCTGCCTCTCAAGTGCTGGGCTTAAAGGTGTGAGCCACCACTGCCGGACAAGTTTAGCAGTTTCAATGACAGAAATTTGTCCTGTTATCCCACCTATTATGGGAATTGGACAAGAAGAATGCGGCGAGGTCTTTTATGCCCATCTTAATTTCTAATATTAACTTTCATAGCACACGTCACACAGCATGCATTGAATACAGCTATATGCCTATGTGCATCCATATGGGTCACAGAATGGAAACAAGTTAAAGAGGCAGCAGAGCTCAAGGGGCTCCAAGGTGGACGGAGGCGTCTGTAATGATAAGATGGGAACCAGACCAGTGCCTGGAGGGCGCTGCTTCTGGAGCTGCGGGAGTCGGAATTGGAGAGCTAAGCTGCAGAGTTCAGATGGGAGGAGAAATACTGAACTGGGGTCTGAGAGCAGGAAGAGCGGGTTCAGGTCCAGGGCCAGATAGGGAAACAGGTGGATGGGCAGGCAGCTGAGTGGGGTGGGTCAAGAGCAGAGCTGAAGCTCCAGAGACAGTTGGGGAGTCCTCTGCCTGTTGGTTCTTTCGTTTGTTTGTTTGTTTGTTTTTGTTTTTTGAGACAGGGTTTCTCTGTGTAGTTTTGGTGCCTGTCCTGGATCTCGCTCTGTAGACCAGGCTGGCCTCGAACTCACAGAGATCTGCCTCCCTCTGCCTCCCAAGTGCTGGGATTAAAGGTGTGAGCCACCACTGCCTGGCTGCCTGTTGGTTCTTGATGCACATGCCAAGTATCAGCTGAAGGGCTGGTGCGGGTCCGTGCCATTTCGATTGCGGTGTGAGGTGGGTCACACCAGTGTTAGGTCTGTCACATTAGGAGTCCAAGTGAGGGAGGTCCACCCTTTCCTTGGATTGATGTATCCACTAAGTTCTTGGGCTTGGTTCCCTTATGT